GATAGCAGATAATGGGTAGATGGATGGGTGGGTGGGTAGAGAGATGAGAGTTGGATGTGACTAGCTCTACTAAAGTGAACTTGCTGACACCTGTAGTCCCCACTCCCCACCATCTACTATGTAGCCCCTTGTACCTCTCAAACTAGAATTGTGGCTTGGGGCCCCCTTGGCACTCCAAAAGCTATTGAGACCCCATCTCAATAAGCCAATAAAAAGCTGGGTACAGTGCTGCTATGTGTCATCTCAGTTACACAGCAAATGTAAATAGGAAGAGCACTGTCAAGGTATTAACACAAGACCCTATTTGAAATGAAGTTAAAAAGAGCCAGGGGAATGGTTCAAGTGGCGTGAGGCCCTGGTACTGTCTCACTCCCAATCCCCAAACCAAAAACCGATCCTTTTGTCCTATTGAAACTGTTTAGTTGTAGATAAAGTGTTAATTAACACTTCTTAGGGAAAGTTAAATATCATCAAGTAGCTGAAAAAGAGTGGTGGGCAGGGCGGGGTAGAATCAGCTGATCCAGATTCCTCAAGTCGAAAGGAACCAGCAGCTAGGGCGCTGGAGGCTCATGCCTATAATCTAGCTACTCAAGAGGCTGAGATCTGGGGATCATGGTTCAAAGCCAGACAGGAAGCAAAGTCCATGAGACTCTTATTTCTAATAACCACCAAAAAGCCCCAAAAGCTAGAAGTGGAGCTGTGGCTCAAGTGGTAGAGCACTAGCCTTGAGCAAAAAAGCTAAGTGACAGTAACCAGGCCCTGAGTTCAGGCCCCAGTAGCTGCACACACAAAAAAAATAAGATAAAATCAATCAATCAATAGGACAGGCAAACAAAACAAAACAAAAAGGATCCTGGGGAGTTTATTTTTCTGCACTAATCAGTGCTGGTTGAAGATGCTACCTGACTCAAAGTTGGTGCAAAATTGGGGGTGGGGGGGGCTTGAATGCAGGCAAGGCCTTCCTCTGTTGCTTGGCTTTTTTGCTCAAGTCTATTTTCCTAACACTTGAGCCACACCTCCACATTAGCTTTTTTTGCTGGTTAATTGGAGATAATACTTCTTTGCCTGAGCTGGCTTCAAACTTTGATCCTCCTGAGTATCTAGGCTTACATACATCAGCCACCTGCACCTGCTATTACTGCTTATTTATTTATTTATTTATTTGCAATCATGAGGCTTGAATTCAGGACCTGAGCATTGCCCTTGAGCTTTTTTGTTCAAGGCTACCGCCCTACCACTTTAGCCACAGGTCTACTTCCAGTTTTTAAGTGGTTCCTTGGAGATAAGAGTCTCATAAATTTCCCTGCCAGAGCTGGCTTCAAACTTTGATCCTCACATCTCTGCCTCCTGAGTAGGTAGGATTACAGGCATCAGTCCACTATTACTACCATATTTGAAGCTCTTCCAAGCCCTCCCTCCATTCCCTCCTCTTCCTGCTGTTTTGCTGCCACATCCACAAGGGAATTGCAAGGCAGGAAAGGTGTGATTTTCCTTAGTTTGCCTGGATTCCTGACTTGTATAAAGAACCTGGCTCCTGACTGCTGTCCTGGGGTTCAGGTAAGCTTTGGGGAAGGGTTCTTTACAGGCAGTTGGAAGTATCTGAATCAAGAGAGTATCTTGGGCTGGGCAGGTGGCTTAGTGGTGGAGAGCTTGCTTAGCATGCATGAAGTCCTGGATTTGATTCCTCACCACCACATAAACAGAAAAGGCTGGAAGTGGCACTAACTCAATTGGTAGAGTGCTAGCCTTGAGCAAAAGCAGCTCAGTGATAGTGCCCAGGCCCTGAGTTCAAGCACCAGGACTGGCAAAAAAAAAAAAAAAAGTATCTTTCCTGTCCATAGCTTCCTACTCTTCCACCATCTGGTATCTGTTGGGTAAGACAGAGATGAGCTGTTGGCAAATGTTTCTTCTTGAGCAAAAGACAATGGGAGAAGAAAGCAGCTTGGAAATTCTTTTGCAAGATCTAGCAGCTGAAAGTAAGCCATTAAGAGTAACTAATGGACCTTCTTAGCTTTCTAGAAAAGCTTGTAGCTTACTTTGCACATGTTTTAATTATGTTTTTATGCTTTTATTTCTGAGCTGGTCCTGGGGTTTGAAGTGAGGACCTTCCACTCTTGCTAGGCTTCCCCTCCCCTTGTCCTGTAAAGCTAGAGCTCTACTACTTGAGCCACACCTCCATTTCTGGCTTTTTGCTGGTTAATTGGAGGTAAAAGTCTCTTGGATTTGTCTGTCCAGGCTGGCTTTGGACCATGATTCTCTGGTGTTAGCCTCCTGAGTAGCTAGGTTTAGCTGTATGAGCCACGGGCACCTGGCTATAATATGTATGTTTTTATATTCATGGTTTATGTTAATTTTTACAGTATAGTCAAATTCTATGTGTTGAAGAAGAAATTCACAACGTGAAGAGCATATAGGAGAAAATATTCCAACAAAGGCACCTTAGAGGTTGTCAGGGAGAGAGGGCTGTCAGAGTGTTAATTCATCCCCGACATTTATGCACAGGAAGCTGAACCTCAATCAACATTGCTCAGCTAGCCAAGTATGGTAATGCACACCTTTTTTTAAAATATTTTTTATTGAGATTGATGACATAAATTTTACAAATCTCATAGCATTGTGGGATAATGATACTTAAAGTCAAAAACACATTTTAACCTTCACAAGGGTGATACACACCTTTAATCATAGCACTCAGAAAGCTGAGGAAGATGAACTCAGAATTCTAGATCAGTCTGGAATACATGGGAGAGACCTTATCTCAAAACAGATTTCTGGCAAATGAGGATACATTTTAAATATTTGGGTAGAGTGTCACTACATAAGTCACAGCTCCCTACCTTGGCAAGCAAGTCTATCAAGTAGCAAAGTCCTGAGTTCAAATTCCAGTATTGGCAAATAGATAAATAAACCATTCTGGTTTTCTCTTAGCTCTTCTCTATGGGGAGTAGACAGAATCTATCACAATTTGATGTCTTTATGATCCTGTGATGTTTTTGTGGGGAGGGGGGAGTCACTGAAGCAACCTAAACTGCATACCTTGAAAAGTTGAAAGGAAAAGTATACACCCCCAACAAAGGTTGGTCTGTGAACTGCCAGCCACTTCTGAGTTAAACAGAGGTAGCAACTGTGGATGGATTTGGCGCTGAGAAAACTCAACCCAGTTTCCTAAAAAAGCATGTTTGTCACTTCAGAAGGAAACATCTGCCTTTCCTTTTCCCAAAGCACTTGTTTTGCATTAGACTGTGCCCTGCGGTACTCAGAGACTTCCATAAGATGGGAAAACAGTCCTTTGGATGATTGGTTAGCTAATTTTTATAAATACCTAGGAAAAAGTAAAAAAACAAAAACAAAACTAGCACCATGTGCTGGTGGCTCATGCCTAATCCTAGCTACTCAGGAGGCTGAGATCTGAGGATAGAGGTTCAAAGCCAGCCTGGGCAGGAAAGTCCATGAGACTTATTTCCAATTAACCATCAGAAAACCGTAAGTGGAGCTGTGGCTAAAAGTGGCAGAGCACTAGCCTTGAGCAAAAGAGCTCAGGGGATAGCACCTAGATCCTGAGTTCAAGCCCCATGACCCACAACACACACACACCCCAAAAACGAGAGACACTTCTACCATTTCACTACTCTAAAGAAACCATGTGCACCTGCATATATTTACTTCTCATCTACATGTATTTTCTGCATATATGCATATACATATGTATCAATACAATGTACATAATATTTTGGTCTCTTCCCCTTCCCCTCCCTCTCCCTCTCTCTCTCCCCCCTACTCCCTTCTTTATTTTTTGGCAATACCAGAGTTTGGATTCAAGGCCTAATGTTCCTTCTCTGCTTTCCTGCACATCGCTGGTACTCTACCATTTGAGTCACCCCTCCAGCTCAGCACTTTTCTAGTTAATTAAGATGGAGTCTCTCAAACTTTTCTGCCTGGACTGTCTTCACATTTTAAGCCTAAAGATCTCAGCCCTGAATAGCTAGGATTACAGGCATGAGTCACTGGCACCAGGCTAAGCCTAGGCATGCTCCTTAGTGTTGTTGCTCAGGGCTGTGCTCTACTTTTGCTTTTTTTTTTTTTTTTCTAATTGGACATTAGATTCTCACCGATTTTCCCACCTGGAAAATCCCACCTGGGCTGGCTTCAAACCCAAATCCTCAGGTTTCAGCCTCCTGAGTAGCTAGGGTTCCAAGTGTAAACCACCTCTACGCAGACAAGTCTTACCATTTTTTTGAGTATATTCCAGGAAGTGGAAGTGATGGATTGGAAAGTAATTAGGTGTGTGTGTTAGTATTTATAATGTGTACTTTTCATGTGCATATGTCAAATATCGTCTTTATATCGGCCTTACAAGGTAAGTAAATATTCTTTTTTTCCTCTGGCTCAGAAAGTGACCTGCTCAAATTGAAACAATAAATAATATGTTCTCAACTTAAATGTGGCTTCTACATTTGTTGTTCCTATTAAGATTAGTACCAAGTTGGGTGCTCATGGATTTCGCTGGTGACCCTAGCTATTCAGGAGTCTGAGATCTGAGGATCATAATTGGAAGCCAGCTTGGGCAGGTGAGTCTTTGAGACTCTTTTCTCAAATAAAGCACCAAAAAAAGCCAGAAGTGGAGCTGTGGCTCAAATGAGAGAGCATCATCAGCCTTGAGAAAAAAAAAAAAAGCGCCAAATGAGAGCATGAGGCCTTGAGTTCAAGTTCCACTACTGATTAAAAAAAAAAAAAAAGGTCCCAATGATGTGTTACCTCCTAGGACCACATTCTTTTCTTTTCCAGGCTGGCCTGAAGCTCATGATCTTGCCTCTACCTCTCACTAACACGTCTTTCTGATTGCAATTGGTTTTTCCAAGCCATCAACTTTCTGCCCTTGCTTGCTCTGTGCATTCCAGGACGGCCTGCTTAGGCGCCACCCCTTTCTCTGCCATGAGCAGAAGGCTGTGTCCATGACTTACTGGTTTTCCTCTTCCAGTTTGGTGAGTATCAGCTGAACCATGAGGATCTGGTGTCTCCTGCTCACCGTGGGGGTCTGCACAGGCACCGTGAGCCCCCAGGACACCTGTCGGCAAGGGTATTCTGGCATCCCTGGAAATCCAGGTCACAATGGCCTGCCGGGAAGAGATGGACGGGATGGAGCAAAGGGTGACAAAGGGGACACAGGTACTCAGCACCCTCCATCAACTTTCACCTTCCCACTCATTCAGTGGAGTCTCCATCTCCCACTGAGGTCTGGCCACCCTGGGGCTTGCAGGTCATATAATGGCCTGATCACTATCATGATATTCCCTGGGTGCAGGAGTAAAAGTGCCAGACAGGGCCAATAGGACCCTGGCCCCATTCCTAGGGACAACTTTGGTCTCTTGACCCAGCAAGCCATTTCAGTGCTAGAAGCCATTTGGTGACGGAATTTTAGCAACATGAGGCCAATAGAACTCACAAGCTGGATCCTGATGGCCTACAGCTGTAATCCTAGCTACTCAGCAGGGTGAGATTTGAGGACCATGGTCCAAAGCCAGCCTGGGCAGGAAAGTCCTGAGACTCTTATCTTTAATTAAGCACCAAAAAGAAAAACCTGGAAGTGGCTCAAGTGGTAGAGTTCTAGCCTTGAGAGAGAAAAAGAAAAAAGCTCAAAGCTCTAAATTCAAATGCGCACACACACACACAAATCTAGACATAACTTAGGGTTTCCTATAGCAGTGCCCATTAGCCACAGAGGGATGGTTCTAGGCCCCACGGAGTACCTGAAGACATGAACAGTACCAACCCTAAATTTACTGTTTTTTTCCTATATGCACAGAACTCCAGGCAAATTAGGCACCGTAGGACATTAACAATGGTACTAACAAAATGGAACAACTGTAGACCAATGTCATTGGTATATCCCATTATCAATGTCACTGCCAAGGTCACTTTGGGGTCATTATTAAGGAAGTCAGCTGCTACCTGTATACAAGCGTTTCCAGGGTGTCACAGTGGGCCTAACAACAGAGATAGTGAAGTGCCTAACCAGCAACGATCCTACAGCAGGATGGCAGTGTTCGTGTTCACATCCTGCATGTGCTGCCATGAGAGTTCCTCACACTACTTAGCCAGCTAGGTATCAGTGGCTCACACCTGTGACCCTAGCAACTCAGGAGGCTGAGGTCTGAGCATTGCAGTTGGAAGCCAGCCTGGGCAGAAAAGTCCAGAAGACTCTTCTCTTCAATTGATCAGCAAAAGTCTATAAGTGGAGATGTGACTTAAGTGATACCAGGCTTGCGGGGGAAAAGTCAAGTCACAGCATGATGCCCTAAGTTCAAGCCCCTGTACAGGAAAGAAGGGAAGGAAGGAAGGAAGAAGGAAGGAAGGAAGGAAGGAAGGAAGGAAGGAAGGAAGGAAGGAAGGAAGGAAGGAAGGAAGGAAAGAAGGGAGGGAGGGAGGGAGAGAGAGAGACAGAGGGAGGAAGGGAGGGACGGAGGGAGGGAAAAGAGAAAGAGAAAGAAAAAAGAAAGGGATGGAGGAAGGGGCAGAAAGTGAGGGGGTAGAACAAGGAAGGAGAAAGAGAAAGGGAAATAGGAGGGAAGGAAGGGAGGAAGGGGAAAAAGACATTGCTGTAAAATGGGTGACATTACTGTGTACCCTTCTTTCTCAGGCCTCCTTCCTTGGCTGGAATTTTGGGGAGTCACCCCATCCATTACATCACTCATTCCTCTTACCCAGCTCCACACTTTGGTGCTCAACGCTCTTTCCACCCATACCAGTGGAAAGGAAGGGGTGCCCATTAGGGTTGGGGTCATGCCCAGAATCCTCCACCATCCATTCCTCATGGAGACCAATGAATTTCATGTCTTGTCTGTTTTCTTCTTTTCTACCTAGGAGAACCAGGCCGCCCCGGGGGCCCAGGGAAGGATGGGATGAGCGGAGAGAAAGGAGAACGAGGTGAATAATGGGGGAACAATTTAATACAGAACTTGACCTATTTCAGGGGTTGGCAATAGGTGTTAAATGATTCTTTGGAGTCTTGTCTATAGCTCTCAGGAGCCAATGGCCCAGGAAACTCTTCTTTTCTCCTTTTCTGTTGGAGCCAGTCCTGGGACTTGAACCCAGGGCCTGGACACTATCCTTGAGCTTTTTGCTTAAGTCTGGTGGTTTACTATTTGAGCCACAGCTCTACTTCTGACCTTTTGGTGGTTATTTGGAGATAAAAGTCTCATGGACTTTCTTGCCCAGGCTGGCTTCAAATTGCAATCCTGAGATCTCAGCCTCCTGAGTAGCTAGGATTACAGGCATGAATCACCAGTACCCAGTCCAGGCAACTCTAAGTGCTTTTTGGAAAGAGATAGATAGCAAATCTTTTCAGCTTTGTGGGCCAAGTAGTCTCTGTCACCACAGTCCAAAAAAGCAGTCACACACTACGGCAGTTAGATAAGTGTAGCCCTGGTCCAGCAATGCTGTAGGTGTGAAGCTGACTTTTTTTTTTTTTTTGCCAATCCTGTGGCTTTGAACTCAGGGCCTGTACACTGTCCCTGAGCTGCTTTTGCTCAAGGCTAGCACTCTACCACTTGAGCAACAGCGCCACTTCTGGCTTTTTCTGTATATGTGGTACTGAGGAATTGAACCCAGGGCTTCATGCATGCTAGGCAAGCACTCTTCTACTAAGCCACATTCTCAGCCCTGAAGGCTGACCTTTGAAAGATTAATTCTACATAGCATGTGGTATTTCCTTTGGCCCTTTAAACATAGACACTTAGGGCTAAATACTAGTGGCTCATGCTTGTTAACTGACTCAGGAGGCTGAGATGTGAGGATTGCAATTAGAAGCCAGCCTGGACAGACAAATCCAAGAGACTCTCATCTCCAAATAACTAGCAAAAAGCTGGAAGTTGCAGTGTGGCTCAAATGGAAGAGCACCAGCCATGAGTAGAAAAAGCCAAGTGAGAGTGTGAGGTCCTGAGTTCAAGCCCCAGTAACTATACATACTAAAAAGAGGGGTGTGTGTATGTGTGCACGTACATCTGCAAGTGCATATTTACATACATATAATTTGGGAGAAGATAAATTATGTATCATCTTGTATCGATTACAAAGTTTATTAATTTGTGTAGTGGGAGTTGAACTGGGCACTCTCTCATCCTCCTCTCCCTCAACACTAGTGAGCAGAGCTCCAGTTCTGGCTTAAAAAAATTGTTATAGGGCTGGGAAGGTGGCTCAGTGGTAGAGTGCTTGCCTTGCATGCCTGAGGCCCTGGGTTCAATTCCTCAGCACCACATAAGCATTAAAAAAAAGCTGGAAGTGGTGCTGTGGCTCAAGTGGTAGAGCGCTAGCCTTGAGCTGAAGAGCTGAGGGACAGAGCCCAGGCCCAGAGTTCAGGCCCCACAACTGGACCCCAAAAAAAATTGTTATAAAGGTGAGGTACAGAGGGGTAACCGTTACATAAGTCACATAAAGCGTACATTTCTTTTTTGGGTGTCACCCCTTCCTTCACTCTCTCCCACTTTTTCCCTCCCATCCCACCTACAAGTTGTATAGTTCATTTTCAACATAGTGTCCAGTGAGTACCACTGCTGCATTTGTTCACGTTACCCCACCAAAGACAGATGAATGAACAAACAAGACAAAAAGAAGACAAAAAGTAACAAAACAAAAACTAGTTCCAACTTTTTTTGGCTGGTTCATGGAGAGATAAGAATCTCCTGGGCCTTGCCTCTCAGACTGGCTTCCAACAGGAACCCTCGGATGTCAGCTTCTTGATGGAAAGCTTTCACACACAGCCCCTCTTTCTTCTCTTCTTCTGTGCAGGAGAAGATGGCAAGGTTGAATCAAAAGGCTCCAAAGGTGACCCAGGATCCCGAGGTCCCCCTGGGAAGCACGGGCCAAAGGGATCCATTGGCCCCACGGGAGAGCCCGGGCTCCAAGGACAGGCTGGCCCTCAGGGGCAGAAGGGAGACAAAGGCGACGTAGGTCCCTCTGGTCCAGAAGGGCTAATAGGCAACACTGGACCCTTGGGTCCCAAGGGCTTACCTGGTCCTGTAGGCCCCATGGGCAAGCCAGGTCCCAAGGGAGAAGCTGGACCCATGGGACCCCAGGGTGAGCCAGGAGTCCGGGGAATACGAGGATGGAAAGGAGATCGAGGAGAAAAGGGGAAAATTGGGGAGACTCCCGTCTTACCCAAGAGTGCTTTTACGGTGGGTCTCACAGTCCTAAGTAAGTTTCCTTCTCCTGATGTTCCCATTGTGTTTGATAAGATCCTATACAATGAATTTAACCATTATAACGTCGCCACCGGGAAATTCACCTGCCACGTGGCCGGAGTGTATTATTTCACCTACCACATCACTGTGTTCTCCAGGAACGTGCAGGTCTCTTTGGTGAGAAATGGGGTAAAAGTCCTGCACACGAAGGATGGTTACATGAGCTCTGAGGATCAGGCCTCGGGCGGGCTGGTGTTAGAGCTGAAGCTAGGGGACGAGGTGTGGATGCAGGTGACGGGAGGAGAGAGGTTCAATGGCTTGTTTGCCGACGAGGACGACGACACCACATTCACTGGATTTTTGTTGTTCAGTAGCTCATGATGGAGACTTGGCCCATCTACTGCTTCTCCTGGCAGAATTAGGTTGGTGATGGAAGCAATCGGATGATTTCATGAAATGAATTCCTCAAATTAGTGATTGCCGTCCTCTGGCCAAAAAAAAAAAAGGCAAAAACAGGACAAGTGACTCCTAAAATTGGGTCTATTAACTTTTATAATCTTTAACTGAATAAAATTATTAATAAACAGTTGCTTGCATGTGTGTGTGTATGCTGGTACTAAGAGCCTCTTACTTAGTTTCTTCGCTCAAGGCTGGCGCTCTACCACTTAGGCCATACCTCCATTTCCAGATTTTTGCTTGAGGCAACTGGAGACAAATGCCCTCTTTTGTGTTATCAGGTATCAAGAAAGTCCTCCCCAGTGATTGATGCTGTGCTCTTGGATTGCCCAATCTTGGGAACTGTAGAAACTACATTTCTTAAGCAAGTGTGGCAATACACAGATTGAATCCCAACGTTTGGGAGACTGAGGCAGAAAGATCAATGACTTCAGGGCCAGCCTGGGTTACACAGGCTGGGTTACACAGCAAGTTTGAGGCCACCCGAGGTACGTAGTGAGACTTTGTGTCAGAAATCAAAAAGAAGATACAGTAAATGGCCAATCTCAGGTAGTCATAGCAATGGAAAATGGATGAACAACACCAGTTTTGACATTGTCTGGGCTCCTAAATCCAGCTGTCCCTAAAGGCAGACTTTCTGAATTGTACTGTTGTTTCTACCACTTCTAGCTAAGACAGCCTAAGTAGTCTACCATCCTAGAGGATGAATTTTCACAATAGTGGAAAAATCCCAACACTAAGAGTCAAGTTACACTTGCTGCCATGCTAGCCATGTCAAAGGAATTTGACTTGAGTTTAAATTTTATCTGAATACTACAAAAAAGTGGAATTGGGCCTCTATGTTCATCTTTTTGTGTCTCATGGTTCTTATTGGGCAGAGACGGAACTGAATAATATGATTTTCTTCGACAGTTCTGCAATAATTATACTTACTTAAGTCAATGAAACACTTTTATATGCTGAGATGTTTTTTGGTGGTGGGGTGGGGATGGGCAGTACTGGGGCTTGAACTCAGGACCTGTGTGCTGCTGTCTCTTAGCTTTTTTTACTACTTGAACCACAGCTCTATTTCCTGACTTTTGGTGGTTAACTAGAGATAAGAGTCTCATGGACTTTCCTGCCCAGGCTGGTTTCAAACCACAATCCTCAGATCTCAGCCTCCTGAGTAGCCAAGAGCTTCCTTAAGCTGAGGCCTTTTGACAGAAGATGGCACTGTGGTTAGGAAAGCAATGAGGGTTATTTTGAAAAAAATATTATGTATGCACATGTAAGATACCCTGATGAAACATCTTGATAGAATTAATACACACAAGAAAAGATTGACAGGGAAATAAAATAGTCTGTTGTAGGAGGGCCAGCAGGAGGGAGTAGGACTAATGAAGAGGGTGAAGAGGAATATTGTCAGAAAAGGCTATCTGCATATATGAAAATGGAACAGTGACATCTGTTGAATTTTTTTTTTTTTTTGGTCAGCTTGAACTCAGGGCCTGGGCGCTGTCTCTGAGCTCTTTCGCTCAAGGTAGCGCTCTACTACTTTGAGCCACAGTGCCACTTCTGATTTTTAGGTGATCCATTGGAGGTAAGGATTGTCTCATAGACTTTTCTGCCTGGGCTGGCTTTGAACTGCGATCCTCAGCTTTCAGCCTCCTGAGTAGCTAGGCTTATAGGCGTGAGCTCCTAGTCCCCAGCTTGAAATTGTTTTAAGAAGGGGAAATGGCACAGAGGAGAGTGATAGAGGGGTGAGGTTGATCAGGATGCCTTGTTTACATGTGTGAAATGTCACAATGAAATATATAGGAATAAAGACTTACCTACCATAGTGGACACCAGAGGGCACTCCTGAGAGCACAGGGCTTGGCCAGGCACCATGAGTTCATTTCTGTTTCTTCCTCCTCTAGTTTTTCTTCCCCTCCCTTCTTTCTCATTGTCCTCCCTCCCCTCCCCTCCCCTTCCTCTCTTCTCTCCATAATCTCCCTATGCCGCTCAGACTGGGGAACTCAGACCTCCTGGCTTCAACCACAGGAGGGCTGGCATCCCCAAGGGGAACTGGAATTTGCGCTGCTGCTTTCTTATTTTTTATGGTTACAATTGCACGAGCAAGGTAACGAGTGCATTTCTTATCAAGCATTTTGCACTCATTCTTCTGCGAGAATTCCAAGGTCGTTTCCCGCGTTCCATTCGCGTGGCTGGGAAGCCCGAGTCCCGTCAGTTCCTCATTCCGGCCAAGAGGCGGCGCGAGAGCGTAGCGGCTCCCGAGGAGGCGACGTGACGACGCTCTTGCCGTCCAGACGTCTGTGCGCGTGTGCACGTCGTCCCGGCCCGGAAGTGCGGCCTTACGCTGTGCGGCGTGGGCCGCTGCCTTGGAAACGCGCGGCGTGAGCTCGGAGGGGCTGGGCTGCGGCGTGCGGGGTTCCCCCCGGGACGCCATGCTGTGCACCCGGAGGCTGAGCGGCCTGGGGGCCGGCGTAGCGGCTGCGTGGCCCTGCCGAGCCGGCCGGGGCAGCCTCGGACCCGGGAGCCCGACCCGCAGGGTCAGCACCAGCTGGTCCCCGGTGGGCGCCGCCTTCAATGTCAGGCCGCAGGGCCGCCGCCTGGACCTGTTCGGCGAGCGCCGGGTGAGAGGTCGGAGGTCGGGGGTCACGCCGGCCTCGCGACCCCACAGAGTCCTGGGGGTGTGGCAGGTGCAGGGCTGTGGGTGCGTCCGTGGGCCTTCCTCCCGCTGTAAGGATGCGGGGAGGCGCCGGGCGCGGGTGCGCACGCCTGTAATCCCAGCTAGGGCTCGAAGCCACACTCCGATCTCCCAGTTAACCACCAATCTAAAAAAGTGGTAAGAGTCCTAGCCGTGATCGAAAAAGCACAGGAAAAGTGATAGCAGTCCTGAGTGCAAGCCCCAGGATTCGCACATTATTATTATTTGGTCGGTCGTGGGGCCTGAACTCTGGGCCTGGGCGCTGTCCCTCAGCTCTTCAGCTCAAGGCTAGCACTCTACTGCTTGAGCCACAGCGCCACTTCTGGCTTTTTTCTTTTTGCTTATGTGGTGCTGAGGAATAGAACCCAGGGCCTTGAGCATGCAAGGCAAGCACTCTACCACTGAGCCACCTTCCCAGCCCCTAAAAGTTGTATTTCTGAACAGTATTTAATGATAAGCGTTTGTGATGTTATTTTATTTTTAAAAGCTAAATACAAAAGTATAATTAATTGGTGATTCTAAATAGTAATATAACATAGAAAGTTTGTTAGAGGGAAATACAGAATTTTAAATAGAGGTTATCATTGGTGGGATTAATGATTTTAGTTTTTTACATTTATTTTTCCTTCCCCTTTCTCCCCCTCTCTCTTTAGTTCCCTCCCTTTCTCTCTCCATTCCTCCTCTTCTTCCACCTTTTCCTCCCCCTCTCTTCCCCTCTTCACTCTTTGCACAGGGTTTCATTGTATAGCCCAAGCTGGCCTCAAACTCTCAATCCTCCTTCCTCTATCTCCCAAACACTAAGATTCAGATGCACACTACCTACCATACCTGGGTCTGTACACTTCTTTAGTAAACATTCTGTTACACTTACGTGGAATACTATGATAAACCTATGTGGTAAAGCACCACCCTCCTCTCCCCCCTCCCCCAGTGAAGGTGGCAGGAACTAGATCCTGTTTTATCCCATTAATCCTGGTGCTCAGTATACTATTACTTAGTTAGCTGTGTCATCAGGGTAGTTTGTGTAATTGTAATTTTAGGCCTCAACATTATTTAAGTGAGAAGAAGCCCAAGTCTATTAATCATGCAAGATTTATACTCAGTACTGACTTTATTTAACAACAAAAAATATTAAAAATTAAAGTTACTTCTGACCCACCTTTTTTTTTTTTTTTTTTGGGTCCGGTCGTGGGGCCTGAACTCTGGGCCTGGGCACTGTCCCTCAGCTTTTCACCCCAAGGCTAGCGCTCTACCACTTGAGCCACAGCGCCACTTCCGGCTTTTTTCTTTTTTCTTATATGGTGCTGAGGAATCGAACCCAGGGCCTCATGCATACAAGGCAATCGCTCTACCACTGAGCCACCTTCCCAGCCCTCACTATAATATTTTTAAAGAAGACTGATTGATTATCTCAGGTTTACAAGTTTTCCCAGGAATGATGTTTTGGACCTCAGTTTTCCCAGGTCTTTGTGCTAGCCGTCTATTGTGTGCTTAGGACAGGTTGTCTTCCATGATTGGAAGCTGTGGGGGTTGTCCCTTCTTCATCTACTGTGTCACTGAAACCTGAAAAGACGTTTCACCTCTGCAGAGATTGATTTCGGCAGTCAGAATCACAGAAGTAACGTTAGTTGCTGTCTCAGTTTCTCTTGCTTTTTTCTTCACTAAAAGAATTTAGGTTCCCTGTCCTATATATTATCCCATTTGTGGGTTTTAAAATTTTTAATGTTTGTTATGTATAATTATATCTCATTTAGAAAACTAAAGCTGGGCATGGCATTAGACACTTGTATTTCCTGACTTGGGAGGCTGAGGCAGGAGGGTCATGAGTTTGTGACCAGTGTGGCTCCGCAGGGAGACCTGTGTCAAAAATCCCTAACTAACTGATTCAGTAAACAAATCGAAATGAAATGAAAGAAAAAGAAGGTTATAAAAACTTCTATATTGTATGTGTTCAACTATGTTTAAAGTACAATGAAATATATTTATAAATAACTTATTTTATGTCTTGTTCTCTGGGTAAGATAATTCAAGGAGTTTTTTTTTTTAAACATTTAAATCTTACCTGCCTAAATAATCAATATACCATTGTAAGTCAGTAGTTTTACAAACTTATTTCCCAGAAAATGGTCATTTTGTTTTTTTTAATCATGTTTTTTATTTAATAGAAATGTTTTCCTCAAATTGGTTTTTATTTGCTATATGTAGGCTTTTTTTTAATACACTGAAGTAGGTGTACTTTTTGGTTTTGAGTTTTAACATTGGCGCTAATCTTTGCAACATATCCATTCATAATTTATAAACTATTGTAAACCTTACGTTGCTCATTTTTCTGATGCCTTCGTACTAACAGATTGTTCGAGTTGACATAATTAATTTATCAAAACATGGATTTAGGTGTTTTTTCTTTGAAAGATATTTGATTTAAAAAATTACTTTGTAGTGAATTTTTTGTTCTTAAGACAGACTCTCACTGTGTAGTCTAGGGTTTCCTTAAATTCCTGATCCTCCTACATTGGCCTCCCCAGTGCTGGGATTACAGGTGTATGCCACCAATCCCAGTTTCCTTGTGGTGATTTTGTTTTGTGTCATAGCCATGTGTTTTTCTGAAGACTTAAGAAGGTAGTAGTTTCTCTGAATTTCCCTGTTCACCTGAAGTGTTGTTTACAGTTCACATGAAATCTAGTTTTACATGGTTTCATTTTTTAAAGCAGTTTCATTCTAGTGATCTCAGTGGCAGTGTGGTTGTGTACTATGTTAGACGGGGGACAAGCAATTCTTATTTCCCTAAAAAGGTTGTAGGAAGAATGTACCTTTGTTTTCCACATAAAGCCTTGAATGTGGTTAAATTATTTTTTAAAATAATACTGCTCAGATTTGTGGGGGGGGGGCTTGAATTTAGCACCTAAGTGCTGTCCCTGAACACTCTGCCACTTGAATCACAGCTTCACTTCTGGTTTTTCTGGTGGTTAATTGGAGATAAGAGTCTGAGGGACTTTCCTGTTTGGGCTAGGTTTGAACTACAATCTGGCTAGTTCTTTTTTCATTTTTCTTTTTTTAAAGTGTCTGGTATACTTTCTGGGAAAACCCCATTTTTCTTTTTTTAAAGTGTCTGGTATACTTTCTGGGAAAACCATATTGCAGTTTGAGTTTAAAAATACTTGAAACTAGGATTTAGATGCTCATTGGAACCAGAGACTTAGGAAGGATTTTCTTGTTCATTTGAACGAGGAAAAACTTCTCTAAATATGAAGTTCATTGAAACACTTTCTTTGGAATGAAACAGACTTGGTTCCCAGGACTCCGGAGTTAAAATAACAAATATCTGAGAAGAAGCTGCTTTTCTTTGCTAGCTGAAGAAGGCTTCCATCATGTAAATGCACAGCTTACATTATTAAGACACAGGTTTTTGTTTCCTCCCTTGGATCTTGCAAGCAAGCATCCATCAAATCCCCTCCTGTTGTTTTTTGTTTTTTTGTTTGTTTTTTTTTTTAGGCTGATTTTGTGAAAATTGCACACCCCGAGCCAGCATTCAGAGAGGCCGCTGAAGAAGCCTGTCGCAGTATTGGCACCGTGGTGGAAAAGTGTGTGATCTTTGCCACGCAGTGAGAGGGCAGTGGTGTGCGTGCACCCTGGTCAGGGAGGGGAGCCGTGGGAGGGCGGGGGCTCACTTCAGCACTGGACTCCTCTCAGTGCCCTTCCAGCAGCGGAGAGGGCATTCTGTCATTGTTGTTTGCATTGTTTCTTCTCAAAGCCCTTGAGGAACATGACACCATGTCATGTGTATAAGCCTGGGCTCTCCTGGCATGGATTTAAGATGCGAAAATAGGGGCCCAGGCTACATTGTGTGACTGTGAATTGGCAGAGGGGGTGGCTTTGGAGAAGACCCAGCACTCTCAGGACGTCCAGCTGCCAGCTTTCCCCATTGAACCTGGTACAGTCCATGTGACTTTTCTGAATTTTGTAGCAGGGTCAATGGATTGGTGGTGAAGGCTGGGGCTGTTGCTTCAATCCAATGCAGGTGAAACACTCACAGCCCTGTCTGGAGCCCTGCTTCTGGCTTCTTCCCAGTGCTGAGCCATAGATAATCTCTCCATCTGGAAAAATCCAGATGCTCTCAGGGCTGCCTGTATAACTGATTCGTGTTTTGGCCCTTGGAGGTGTGGCTCTAACAAGCCCAAGGCCCCGAGATCAAAGTAGAGGGCCACCAAAGTACAAAAAGAGTGCCTGATTTCTTCTTGTTGTAGAGATGAAAGTTACAAATTTGGTATAGTTTAGAACTAGTGGCAAATGTAGATTTTAACATCTCAGGATTTTCTAACATCAAGCCTAGCGTGGGAGATGAGCTTAAGTGTACAGGACCACTCTAAGCTGCTGCCGGCTTTCTGGGGGAGGGGGGGAGGGGAGGCCTGCAGAAGGTGGCTCTAGCTTTCTTCCTTGTCCCCCTGCTGCCATGTGACAGTGGGCCTGCCTCTTCCCACTGAGGAAGCTCTGATTGGCTTGACCTTTGAGGGACCCATGGGGATGTGGCAGAGAAACTCTTCCATTCATATGAAAACCGGCCTTTGCTTCTCTGCCAGTTACCTGGAGAGTGACTGCCTTTGGATCCCTGGGTAGGAAAAGGTGGGTGGTGGTTACTGATTTGTCCTTCCTGAGGCTTCACCAGTAGGCAGCCCCGCACACTGGTGAGTCCCAAGGATGCTGAGGCCTTGGCACCTTGGGAAGGAGGATGGGGCCTGTGGGGGATGCTGTGAGGTAGGTGGAGGCCAGGGCATGAGTGGTGGGCGCTTTGTTGACCTGTATCAGCCCCCGGCAGGCAGCTGCATCTGTGGCAGCAGCAGGTCCACTGGGGTATGGAGTGTGCAGACACTCCCATTCAGTATCCATGGTGACCTGGGTCCATGTAACTCATATATGCAGGTCACAGGGCAGCCACTGGGCATCTTGTAGGTGGATGTGGCACCTTAACTTGGTGCTGAGTTCTGACACCCTGCCCCCCTTTACCCAAGTAAGCCTAGGTGGCCCTAGCTCCAGCAAGGGGTCCGAATCAGGATGGCAATACCTTCATGATAGTTCAGCCTCCCGCTTATCCTTGCACCTTTCCTCTTATTGAAAATCTAAGTTCGGTGCCAGTGACTCGTGTCTGTAATCCTAGCTACTCAGGAGACTGAGATCTGAAGATTACAGTTTGAAGCCCGCCTGGACAGGAAAGTCCATGAGACTGTTATCTCCAGTAAACTACCAAAAAAAAAAAAAAGGGTGGAGCTGTGGCTCAAGTAGTAGAGCTTTGGGTGAAAAAGAGAAGGGATAGCACCCAGGGTCTGAGTTCAAGCCTCAGTACTGATAGGCACACGTGTGCATACTTACACACACATACATCTCTCTCTCTCTCATTTGAATTGTGGGGTGTAGTGGTGCATGCCTGTGATCCCAGTTATGCTGGAAGCTTAAATAGTGTCAAAGTCCAGGCTGGCTGCAGGACAAAAATTCAAGACCAAAAGTAAAGAAAGGGGGACAATGGGCTGGGGGTATGGCTCCTGTGGTGAAGTGCTTGTTTAGACAAAAATAAAACGAATAGCCCTGGGCCTCTTGCTCACAGGAACTAGTTCCTTGTTATAGCATCAGTTACCATAGTCTCCTCTCCTGCCCAACTGCTGTTCCTGCTGGCTTCCCACTGATCCTTTGCCTTCCCAGACCCTTTAACCTGTGGCCCTTTGCCTAACAAACTACTGTTCCTATTCTAAGTAGTTCAGGGTCATAGAAAGCAGCCCCTGACTTGTCCTGTGTGCATGTGCGTGATTCCCTCGCTCACTGTTGTTTGCATGTACAGAATAAGGTACAGGAAATTCCTTCCTTTTCACTTCCTTTCAACCTTTTCTAGGTTGAACACCAATGTGGACTTGTACCAGAGTCTGCAGAAATTATTGGCTGACAAAACACTCATGGAGTCCCTTGATGCTGAAACCAGGTAGGTGCATGCTGCTTTTGCTTTTTGAGACTGTGGCTCTCTAGGTGAGGCAGGGAAGCTCCACTCTGGACCCCTGGTCTGCAGTAGTCCTGCCCCTTCCCCTCCCCTGCATATGGGCAGGACGTGAACTTATTTTATTTATTTGGAATTTAAGAGAATATGTAGTTTATTGGGTATAAAAATACAAACATAAAACCACTTAAATAGGAACCCAGAAAGCACCTTTTTTCCTTCTCCAGACCCTCTCACCTTAACCCCAATTAAAAAAAAAAAAACAAAAAACATTGTGCATACACAATGGCTGGCAAAGGCTAAAACAAGGCAAAGCTTCCAGAGATGGCAGATGCTCAGCTTGGGAGGTTGATGAGTAGGTCAGATGAGACCATTTCTAGAGAAGTCACTGTTCAAACACAGCCTTCGGAGCTGGAGGCTGCTTCCTGGGACCTCTGGGACCCCTGACTTGAGCTGCTGGATGGGAGGCTGATAACCTACTCTCTCAGGGCATCCTCCAGTAGTTTCTCAGTGTGAGCCTGCTTCTGCTCCTTTAGCACCTGAAGAAACCAACACATGGCCTCTGAGTCAGTTGAGTTTTTCGGCAAAGACAAGGCAGAGCCAGTCAGATTCCTTACACATGAAGGCTTTTACTCCATTCACACCAGGGCCTGCCCCATCCTCATCCTGCTGTGGTGTTCTTCATTGTCTCCTTACTCCAAGGTGGCTTTATCTCCTGACTGAGGGTGGGGCTGGTTCCTGGACTTGAACCCTGGGCCTCCTCACTAGCTTGGCTTGTTTGCATATCTGGTGCTCTGCTACTTGAACCATGCCTCCAACTTAGTTTTTTGCTACTCATTTGGGAGATGGAGTCTTATGGGCTTTTTTGCCCCAGCTGTCTTCCAACCCCAGTCCTCCTGGTCTCAGGATTACAGGCATAAACCACCAGAAAAAAGCTCAGCTTATCAAACTGAATTGAAAGACTTACTTGCCAAAGTCAATATGTAGGAATATTGGATAAATGACCTTGGTATCTTATTTCTTTGCTCAAATGTGTATATAGAATAGTCATAGTACAGTTTGCCATTTCTTTGCTCTTGGTATTTATGTCATAGCCTAGATAATTCTCACCCATTTGTATCGGTTTATCTGCATTTTGTTATGGGACACTTACTTCTTTTCACTATCTAGTTTTACCTTACTGCTTCCTTCTGCTGGCCTCTCTCTGTCTCCTGACCCCTGGGATTCCACAGGCCACTTTCTAACATGTTTGTGCTTGACCTAATGTCGGCTCTCACCATGGATCTTACATGTGTCTCGTGTCCTATTTATGAGTTGTATACCATGAGGTTCAGAGTTGGATTTTATTTTATTTATTTATTTTGTTGGTCATGGGGTTTGAACTCTGGGCCTGGGCACTATTCCTGTGCTCTTCAGCTCAAGGCAAGTGCTCTACCACTTGATCCACACAGCCACTTCCTGTTTTCTGGTAGTTAATTGGAGATAAGAGTCTGATGGACTTTTCCTGTCCAGGCTGGCTTTGAACCGCTATCCTCAGATTCCAGACTCCTGAGCTAGGACTATAGGCATGAGCTACCAGTGCTGGGCTAGAGTTGGATTTTATTCCCACTAACTAGAAGGTGGCAGGAACTAGATCCTGTTTTATCCCATTAATCCTGGTGCTCAGTATACTATTACTTAGTTAGCTGTGTCATCAGGGTAGTTTGTGTAATTGTAATTTTAGGCCTCAACATTATTTAAGTGAGAAGAAGCCCAAGTCTATTAATCATGCAAGATTTATACTCAGTACTGACTTTATTTAACAACAAAAAATATTAAAAATTAAAGTTACTTCTGACCCACCTTTTTTTTTTTTTTTTTTGGGTCGGTCCGG